TAATAATACGGTGACATGTTTATTCCTACCTTTGGGTGGAGATGTTGGTGAGTGTGGTAGGCTGAGTTGCAGAGGCATATTTACTGGTGGGGAAAGTTGTCTCCGTCTCCTCAGTTGCCTGCTGCATTGTTGACCCATTACATGGCTGGAAATTTGAGTACAAGCAATGATCATAACACTACAGATTCAAGTTTTGGTTAATTTCATTTGATACTAGCAGCTTACATTGACAAACTTTAAATCTTGAAGAGGTACATTAGAATTCTGTGGTCCTGTAGCAGAACTTTCCAGACTGGGGCCAGTACCAGAACTGGTATTGTTCTTTCTTTTATTCTTGGTGCTCTGCCTCAGGCGGTCACGGAGTTTCTTCCTCTGCTTTCTGTTTGTAAAGAAACAAAAGGGAAATTGTGAAACAGTCAAGATCACTACATTATATTCAAAATAATTTGAACAAATTCAGAACCAGTCAAAAGTTTAACCTAGTCATAAGGTTTTTCAGGACTATTGACTTTTGTTTTGTTCAATTTAAATGATTTTGTTAAAATTGTTGACATTTTGCCAATTAAATAAATCCAGTTGGAAAAAATAAAACATTATAAAATATATTATCTTCTACAAAATCTATTTCAATTTTTGGTGAATTAAATCATTTTACTGATCTCTCAAAATAAATTAGTTTTTGCAGACTAATATGAAATAATATAAAAAAGGCAAAAGAAAAAAGTGGGGGAAAGAACTAATAGTTTTAACAGAAAGAACTAAATAAAAAAATTTAATAATTAAAAAACAGAAAGAAACAAACAGTCATTAATAAACTTATTACTGCTGTGATGCCCGATCCTGGTCCACAAGGGGCCACTATCCTGCATATTTTAGTTGTTTCCGTGCTCTGCAGAGGGTCTTCAAGTTCTGCAGAAGCCTGATGATCACGTTTTCATTCCAATGAGTTGTGTCAAAGTAGAAACATATAAAACTGGGATGTCCAAAGTGCGGCGGCCTGGGGGCCATTTGTGGCGGCTGATTTCGTGTGGCCCTTCAGTTCAAGAAATATACTAATTGTCCCCCCGCCACAGGTGTTTGATGTAGATGGAGACTTTCTATTTATTATTAGGGCAAATTTATCACAAAGTAAAATCTTACAATAAAAATTTTGGCAGCAATACCAATTATTTGTCTTTAAACAAATCAGCTTTTTCCACATTTATCTAGTGACCCCTACTCAAAAGATGATTTTGCTGCACTTCAATCTGCTTTTAATTATTTATTACATTCGTCTAAATACAGCAAGCCTTTTCAATGAAAGAGTTACCTAAATCTTGATTTTATTGATCAGAATTGACTAAATTGGGCTATTCCCCCCCCC